ACTGCCAAATTAGGGACGGCTAGCGCAGATAGCCCTCGGGTAGCTTTGCGCGAAATTCATAGCAACCAAACAGTTTATCCAAGAGCACATATTCTCGTAATGAAATGGCAGGAGGAAATGTTATTTTCATTTATTAAAATAAATTCCACATTTTTTTCTTCTCTCCTTATCAATAAAATCATGCGCATTGAGGAGCTTTTCGAGAATTTGACTTCGCTGACTGACTGACAGACTTGGCCTCAATGGAGGCACGTGTGAACAGCTGTTGTTGTACTGATTCTCACTGTACCAAATATTATCTCCGTCAAACATTAGTAAAGTTTGTTTTTAGTTTTCTGTTAGTGTTTGTCTTATGCAAGGTTATTGCTCAATCTCTTAAACTTTGGTGCGGTTAGTGACTGACAAGGGAAGTCAGTAAATGAATGTATAGTTATTATATATGTGAATATTGGTACGGTGTATACTTCTGTTATTCTTACTGTGAAACAAAGATGAATTAAACTGGTTTCAGTTGTCTTAGTTCTATTTTCTTTTGTACCAATCGTATAAAACCAATTGTTTAGTAACTTGTCCCCACCCTGTATTTATGGAGTTCTCTTCTTAAGCGGTTACAGTTCGAGCACCGAGTACAATTACCATAATATTGTATATAACTCTTCACTAAATCCGATAAAAGCAACTGCTGGACTCGTAGCCTGCTTTCTGAGTTATGTGGTCTTATTATGAAAGTAAACAAAATATGAAAAAAAATCTTATTTTGGAGAAGCTGAGATATTCAAAGTTTGACTCCAAACTGCGATGTTATTTTGACACTTGGTACTTTTCCGTTACACCCCCCGCAAATGGTAAATGTTTTACTATATTTCAAACTTATTAAAATTGCGCGGGTATAACGGAAGAGTTATTAAAACTTGCGGGGGTATAACGGAAAAGTACCGTGAACAGATAGGTCGTTAGGGTTAATATTTATTTACCAAACAGGTTATATTTTGAATTAAGAACATTGATAAGTCCTTATTTCTCGTTCCCCCACCACCCGGTGCTTCATAGGTAAACTTAATGGGACTATTTGATAATGGTTAAACGTTGGATGTTAGTGGGTGTAGGTCATTACAAGTACGTGTACGTATATAATAGTTTTTAAACGTTGCATGTTAGTGGGCGTACACGTACTTGTTGTAATGACCTACACCCACCAACATCCAACGTTTAAAAACTATTATATACGTACACGTACTTGTTGTAATGACCTACATATATAATAGTTTTTAAACGTTGGATGTTGGTGGGTGTAGGTCATTACAACAAGTACGTGTACATATTTGTATCAAATATATTTATATATTTAATTAAATCCTATATGCATCGGACATTTTTTACAAAACCAGATTGCAATTAATTTCGAGTACAAAGTTGGTCACTAACCGAACGTCGATTTTCCCGGTATTAACATACAAAAAACAAAAATTACAGATCAATTTTACATGGTGCTTGCTCAACCGGAGTTGACAACTCTATTTTAATTTTAATCTAAACAAAACGTAGTTTGTGCATACGGTAGTTTTCATGTTGTAATGTTTAACGACACCACGATAAACACACCAATTGGTGTTTGTATAAAGTCCTCGTTTTTCTTGCATAGATCATTTAAACGCGAAGACTTCGTACGTAAATGTAGGATGATTCTAGTGGTGTCAACGGATCGTTTCGTTTTAAAACTAAAGGAAAGTTTACAGTAGATATATATACATATATATAACAGTATGACGTCACTTCCTTTTGGAAACATAGTTCATTATACGATCGTTCTTATTGACTTCATTATATGACGTCACTTCCTATTGAAAACATAGTTCATTATACGATCGTTCTTACTGACTTCATTATATGACGTCACTTCCTATTGAAAACATAGTTCATTATACGAGGCCCGGCATGGCCAGGTGGATAAGGCGCTCGACTCGCAATCTGAGGGTCGTGGGTTCGATTCCCCGTCCCACCAAACATGCTCGCCCGTTCAGCTGTGGGGGCGTTATAATGTGACGATCAATCCCACTATTCGTTGGTAAAAGAGTATCCCAAGAGTTGGCGGTGGGTGGTGATGACTAGCTGCCTTCCCTCTAGTCTTACACTGCTAAATTAGGGACGGCTAGTGCAGATAGCCCTCGTGTAGCTTTGCGCGAAATTAAAAAACAAACAAACAAAATAACAAATCATTATACGATCGTTCTTATTGACTTCAGTATATGACGTCACTTCCTATCGAAAACATAGTTTATTATGATCGTTCTTACTGACTTCAGTATATGACGTCACTTCCTATTGAAAACATAGTTCATTATGATCGTTCTTACTAACTTCAGTGTACGACGTCACTTCCTATCGAAAACATAGTTCATTATGATCGTTCTTACTGACTTCAGTATATGACGTCACTTCCTATTGAAAACATAGTTCATTATGATCGTTCTTACTGACTTTCAGTGTATATACACATTTGGTGGCTTGTTTTGAATTTTGCGCAAAGATACACGAAGATTATCTGCGCTAACCGTCTCTAATTTAGCAGTGATAGACTAGAGGGAAGGCAGCTAGTCATTACCACCCTACATACATACATACATACACAGGGGTGGGATTAGATAGTGGGTTATATATTTTATTAAAGTAAAATTCGGTGACCATAAGTTTTTTCTCTATGTCGTTTTATTATCAAATTTTATGCTATTTTTTTATTTGTTAAATTTTGCGCTATTCGACGGCTATCTGCGCAAGCCGTTCGTAATTTTGAAATGACAGACAAAAGGGAAGGCAACTGGTCAACATCGCCCATCATTAACTCTTAGGCTACTTTTTGTCATCGAATACTGGAATTGACCGTGACGTTCTAACCTTCCTACGGCTGAAAGGACAAGCATGTTTGGTGACGGGATTAGAATCCGCGACCCTTAGATTTCGAGTAGCGTGATCCTTGTAATATATCTTATGTATCTTTTCACTATATACGCATGCGTATTCTACGTAAGGGACACGGCCTCTGTGCAACACTAATATAGACTTCCCTTATGTTCCTAGATTGTAATTAAGCCTTTTTAAGCTTCGCAGCCAAATAGACTATTAAAAAAAAGTGTTATTTCTTGTTCATTTGAAAAAACAACAACAAAAACACCACCAACCTAATGTAAGTAAGACATTGAAATAATTCTAATTTTGTTGTATTTTACCTGACCACTCTTAGTTCCTCGTGATTCTTTTAAGGATTTGTGTTCACTGAATGCTGAGTCTTTTTCTTGTTCTTGTGATTTAGGTAAAATGGAAGCAATGCCCAAGAAACACGTGGGTGTTCAACAAGGCGTCGCCATATTGCTTATGTAAGAGATAGTGACGTTTCGAAAATTCTTCAGCAAACGTGAGGATGACTGTTGCTAGGCTGGTCTCGCGCACACCTTCCAAACCAGTTACAGCTAGTCTAATTCCTACTGTTTTACAGCCGATCAGCGCGAACAGAGATACCTATATAGTCGTCGAGAGAGCCGTGGGAAAATCGAGATTACGTTAAAACTGTTATATTGGTGTGTGTTTGAACGACATTTTATTGTACATGTCTCCAAGTGTTATTGTTTAAACCGGCTGTGATTCTGCGCGAACTATCTCGGTTCCTAACAAATGAATATGACAATCGATATCACCACGATTTAGTTTATACATAAAATTTAGTTATTTCTTTTACACGTACCTGCATGTCTGTACACATTCTTTTGATGTTCGTGGAGTGTTTCGCCTTTGGAACTGATAAGATTCAGGAAACAATTGATCATTTATTGGAACTGATAAGATTCAGGAAACAATTGATCATTTACTCTAGTTTTATATATTTACATTTAACTGTGTGATTTAAAAATAATTCTGCTCTTTGCCACGTGTAAAATATATATAATTTCAATGCATATCTCTGATAAGAAGCTGTACTGTTTATCCATTGCTATAATATCAATGTTTTCACCATTTTTTATTAACTAAATCACTAAGTTCATTTGTAAACGTTTTTTTTCCTCATACAACCCCAAGCGCCTCCGATCTCCTTTACTACTGTACTAGGTACCTTGACCTCGGTACATATTCAAAAGACGCTTAGTAATGTTTATTATGACATAGATACCGCTTGGGTAGGTCGGCAATCACGGAGAACAACAACGAGATTTGTTGCTAAGCTACATTTCATTCTGGGAATGGTGTCCTAGTTGAATACGAACTTTGATCGATTACAAAAGGAAATATTTGTCGTGTTAGTTTTCATGCGAATTAAATAAGTCTTGATATTTTATTTATATATATATATCACAATTCCTTCTTCTAAGGCGTGTCAGCCAGCGGAAGTTATCAGAAACTGTGCACATTGCTACATTCTGTAAACAAATAAAAACCAGATTTAGCATCTGGACCCCCCCCCCCCACACACACACACGTAAATATTCCTCGTAAAATATCGCGATTAAGATCTTAAGATCATCACTAAGCTTATTGGACAAGGTGTGGCCCATGGTTAACGTGCCGAACTGTAGATCCTAAAGTCTGTGGTTCCTGTCCCGTTGCCGCATAAAACAACAACAAAACAAACAAATAAAAAACGCTTTGAGGCGTTGAGTGCTTTATAATCGTGACCGTTAATTCCACGTATCCGATTATAGTATCTCAAGAAATGGCGGTGGGTGCTCTTCATTAACTGCCTTTCATTTATTCATTAGCTCAGAATTAGAGACGGCTAACTCAAATAGCCCTTGTGCAGCTTTGCGTGTGTGGGTTATATGTACGTTGAGAGATAAGTTTAAAATACCAGCAAGAACGTAGATTCTGGAAATGTACGGTGGAAGTAACTTCGAAATCGGACAACAAAGGTAAAACAAACACAACTATACAGAATTTTATTGACAATCAGTGTGAATGTTTATTTTATAGACTGTTAGGCTTCTAAATCTTGATTGGTTTTAAATTGGTTGCTGGGGCTAGATCTCTACCCACAATCCAAACAGTACGATGACGGAAAGATTTCTATTATACTCTACTATCCAATCAGACAATGCTGTATACCATAATCCCAAGCTGCATACGTCAACGACTATTCCAAATAGCGTATACTGAGGAGAAAACTCCCAACTCATACTAGTTAGTACAAGTATCAGTGTCAACTCATGAGATAAGCTCGTCCGCTCCAAGGGAATAGTCACATAGTCTGTTATTTTACCTTTACCTTAGTAAAAGAATCAGTAAATATTCGCGACCGGAGCTACGAGACCCAAATATCCGAAAACAACCAACTTATTAAAACGAGTAAAGCTTTCCATATTCCCATGTCAACTCAAATATCCAAAAACAACCAACTTATTAAAACGAGTAAAGCTTTCCATATTCCCATGTCAACCCAAATATCCGAAAACAACCAACTTGTTAAAATGAGTAAAGCTTTCCATATTCCCATGTCAGTTACTCTATCAACTCCAAATCCATATTTTTAACTCACCCTGATCGATCGCCATGAAATTTTACCTCATGTTTAGTGAAAACGCAAACCACCTTATTAAACGGAACTACAGGGGTTTGAAACAAGGATATCGCAAATTTGATATGAATTTTGATATTTCTTTGGATGATACTGATACATTTACCAAAAACGACACGTTTGTGATTAATAAATAATTAATCCATTTCGCTATACGAAGAAAAGCAAGAAATTCAAAACGTTTACTGTTAGTGTCTGTCCACAAGCTGACAGCTTGTGATCTATATGAATAAGACGCAGCTGGTACAACAAGAGGGAATCCTCATTAGCCGCGGCCGTAATTAGATCTGAAATCGGTCAAGAGATGGGGCTATGAGCTAAAAAATTTGCACTTGAAAACAAACTCGGAGCCATTCTATGAGCCGCTTTGCCGCGGCTAATAAAAATAGTAAAATGTAAATATTTATAGTAAATATCTTTGAAAGGTCTCTTTGAGTGTTACAATATATTTGCTGTCTTTTGTAATGTAGTATCCTAAACCCTTTTAATTTTCTTCATGTTTCTATAGTTTTTAAACTCCCCCCCCTCCAAAAAAAAGATTGTAGATTACAATATAAAGTCTAAACTACATGTTTTGACTAACACTGTTGTGTGTAAACTACCGGTTGTAGTAGGTCACTCCTGCTAAACTACTTGTTTTGACTGACACTCTGTTGTGTGTAAACTACCGGTTGTGGTAGGTCACTCCTGCTAAACTACATGTTTTGACTAACGCTCTGTTGTGTGTAAACTACCGGTTGTTGTAAGTCACACCTGCTAAAGTACATGTTTTGACTGACACTCTGTTGTTTGTAAACTACCGGTTGTGGTAGTTCACACCTTCTAAACTACATGTTTTGACTAACACTCTGTTGTTTGTAAACTACCGGTTGTGGTAGTTCACACCTTCTAAACTACATGTTTTGACTAACTCTCTGTTGTTTGTAAACTACCGGTTGTGGTAGGTCACACCTGCTAAAGTACATGTTTTGACTGACACTCTGTTGTTTGTAAACTACCGGTTGTGGTAGTTCACACCTGCTAAACTACATGTTTTGACTAACACTCTGTTGTTTGTAAACTACCGGTTGTGGTAGGTCACACCTTCTAAACTATATTTTTTGACTTACACTGTTTGTAAACTGTATAGTTTGGCGTGTACGTTTTGTGAACAATTTGACGCGGCCCTACAGGTAAACTTTGAGCATACTGTTACACACGAAAATTGTATTTAGTAGACAAAACCTAACTTTAAATGTTGAGTTGATCACGTGCATATTAGATATCATTCAAAAAACACCAAAATGTCAGAAAAGTTAGTAACAATAGCAATTCAACTCAAATAATTTCTCCAACATGAGAAAAGCTTATGTTTATAAATTCCATGTAGCTTCTTCGAATTATAAACAAAATACTTAAGAAAAATAGCGCAAGTTGCACGTGTAGCGGCTTGATAAAATCAATAGTAAACAACACTAAGACTTAACAATATCTTATCGCATTAAGGTGAAAGGTCTTTCCAAAAGCAGCTCTTCCAATTCAGGAAAATAACAGTTTCTCGTGAACTTTATGGTTTACCCCTCAAGTGTACTGCGTGGCTGCAGGTGGCGATAGTCGCTGTAAAGTTAAGAATAACAACCTCAAGCTTAATTAAGCTAACCCGGTGTGTTGAAGTAAAATGTCCCCATTTGTGTAGCACCGATGATCTACAAAGACATGACATAGAAATACACGTTACGTTAAAACTCACTCGTTCAATCGAACCAGTTCTTCTCCACGTATTCTTGTCAAACAGTGTTACGACAACTCCACGAACACTGTGCTTTCAGACTACGTACGAGAAAGAAACGGGTCACTTGATTTAGAGTTGGTGTTATAACTAAAAAAAAAAGTTGAATTTACCTCTTGATTTAGAGTTGGTGTTATAACTAAAAAAAAAAAAGGTGAATTTACCTCTTGATTTAGAATTAGTGTTATAACTAATATTTTGATATTAAACTTTCCCGGGCGCCGTCTGACCTTCCAATATGGACCGACAGTTTAATTGATTGTTTCTTGCACGTATTTTTCTTGTCACTTCCAGTTTTTTTTTTCTTCTTTTCAATAATAATCATTATGGTACTTCTCAGCCATTCAGTACCTTTCACTTCTTCAAGTACTGTCTGGTCTACTACATCTCGCGTATTAATGATCTGTTTGTTTTTACCCTTGTTGTTATTATATTCCTACTCAGAGGGTGACTTCTCACTTCTTATTAACTGCGTGATTCTAAAATATTATGACTGAAAGTAAAAAATAATATATCAACCACATTATATTTTTCATATCCTGTGCCGACGAGGCCTTTCGCACAATACCTTCTCTGTTAAAACCTGCTTCTCACACTTGTTATGACCTTCACACTTACTGTCACAGCCTGTTTTTGTTCTTAGTGTCTGTCTGACTTTCCACCCACAGCCTGTTTTAGTTCTTAGCGTCTGTCTGACTTCCCACCCACAGCCTGTTTTAGTTCTTAGCGTCTGTCTGACTTCCCACCCACAGCCTATTTTAGCTCTTAGCGTCTGTCTGACTTTCCATCCACAGCCTATTTTAGTTCTTAGTGTCTGTCTGACTTTCCACCCACAAATAGCCTGTACCTGTTATTAGTGACACACGATAACAACTAGCTTGTACTTCTATTTATCACTCAGTATTTGAAGTGAAAAATTCTGGGTCCAAGTTTAACCTTTCTATTTGTACTTAGTTTCACCTTTCAGGTCCCAGTAACATGTTGTATTTCCATTTTGTCAACCACAAAATTACCGTCCATTTTGTCAACGACAAAATTACCGTCCATTTTTTTTCAGTCGCAGTTTGACTTTATATTTCTCACATTCTGTGATCTTTTACTTTACGGTTACAATATCATCTCTCATTGACAAACCAGTGTGACATTACATTACCTCTTTTAACTTCCACTGTCAGTTGTATCATCTCTCATTGACAAACCAGTGTGACATTACATTACCTCTTTTAACTTCCACTGTCAGTTGTATC